TATGTGGCATTTCTGGCTAAATTATGTTGCATTTCTGGGGAAATTATGTGGCATTTCTGGCTAAATTATGTTGCATTTCTGGGGAAATTAGGCATCGAGGCTAGAGAGAGTCATTACTGCATTACAAACACAGTGAAAGATATACCATGGACCCACCCAGCTCACCCAGCTCGCTTAGCTCACCTAGCTCACCCAGCTCACCTAGCTCACCCAGCTCACTTAGCTCACCCAGCTCACTTAGCTCACCCAGCTCACTTAGCTCACCCAGTTCACTTAGCTCACCCAGCTCACTTAGCTCACCCAGCTCACTTAGCTCACCCAGCTCACTTAGCTCACCCAGCTCACCTAGCTTACCCAGCTCACCCAGCTCACCCAGCTCACCCAGCTCACCCAGCTCACCCAGCTCACTTAGCTCACCCAGCTCGCTTAGCTCACCTAGCTCACCCAGCTCACCTAGCTCACCCAGCTCACTTAGCTCACCCAGCTCACTTAGCTCACCCAGCTCACTTAGCTCACCCAGCTCACTTAGCTCACCCAGCTCACTTAGCTCACCCAGTTCACTTAGCTCACCTAGCTCACCCAGCTCACTTAGCTCACCCAGCTCACTTAGCTCACCCAGCTCACTTAGCTCACCCAGCTCACCTAGCTTACCCAGCTCATCCAGCTCACTTAGCTCACCCAGCTCACTTAGCTCACCCAGCTCACCCAGCTCACCCAGCTCACTTAGCACACCCAGCTCACCCAGCTCACTTAGGTCACCCAGCTCACCCAGCTCATTTAGCTCACCCATCTCACCCAGCTCACTTAGCTCACCTAGCTCACCCAGCTCACCCAGCTCACTTAGCTCACCCAGCTCCCTTAGCTCACCCAGCTCTCCCAGCTCACCCAGCTCACCTAGCTCACCCAGCTCGCTTAGCTCACCCAGCTCACTTAGCTCACCAAGCTCACCCAGCTCACCTAGCTTACACAGCTCACTTAGCTCACCAAGCTCACCCAGCTCACTTGGGTCACCCAGCTCACCCAGCTCACCTAGCTCACCCAGCTCAATTAGCTCACCAAGCTCACCCAGCTCACTTAGCTCACCCAGCTCACCTAGATCACCCAGCTCACTTAGCTCACCCAGCTCACCTAGCTCACCCAGCTCACCTAGCTCACCCAGGTCACCCAGGTCACCCAGCTCACCCAGATCACCCAACTCACTAGCTCACCCAGTTCACCCAGCTCACCCAGCTCACTAGCTCACCCAGCCCACCTAGCTCACCCAGCTCACCCAGCTCACCCAGCTCACTTAGCTCACCCAGCTCATCCAGCTCACCCAGCTCACTAGCTCACCCAGCTCACTAGCTCACCCAGTTCACCCAGCTCACCCAGCTCACTAACTCACCCAGTTCACCTAGCTCACCCAGCTCACCCAGCTAACCCAGCTCACCTAGCTCACCCAGCTCACCCAGTTCACCAGGCTCACCCAGCTCACCCAGCTCACTAGCTCACCCAGTTCACCTAGCTCACCCAGCTCACTCAGCTCACCCAGCTCACCCAGCTCACCCAGCTCACCCAGCTCACCCACCTCACCCAGTTCACCTAGCTCACCCAGCTCACCCAGCTCACCCAGCTCACCTAGCTCACCCAGCTCACCTAGCTCACCCAGCTCACCCAGCTCACTAGCTCACCCAGTTCACCTAGCTCACCCAGTTCACCTAGCTCACCCAGCTCACCTAGCTCACCCAGCTCACCTAGCTCACCCAGCTCACCCAGTTCACCTAGCTCACCCAGCTCACCCAGCTCACCTAGCTCACCCAGCTCACTCAGCTCACCCAGCTCACCTAGCTCACCCAGCTCACCCAGCTCACCCAGCTCACCCAGCTCACTAGCTCACCCAGTTCACCTAGCTCACCCAGCTCACCCAGCTCACCCAGCTCACTTAGCTCACCCAGCTCATCCAGCTCACTAGCTCACCCAGTTCACCTAGCTCACCTAGCTCACCCAGCTCACCTAGCTCACCCAGCTCACTTAGCTCACCCAGCTCACCCAGCTCACTAGCTCACCCAGCTCACCCAGCTCACCCAGCTCACCTAGCTCACCCAGCTCACTTAGCTCACCCAGCTCACCCAGCTCACTAGCTCACCTAGCTCACCCAGCTCACCTCACCAAGGTGACTAAACAAACATTCTCGTCACTGCCACAGAGAAGCACAAAATAATTGCATAGGTCTCTTCATAAATAATCCTATGTATTGATTTACATACGAATTTACATACTATGCATGAATAAGAAAATAAATTATGCTCTTTATTGGAACTAATATTAACTGAGATATATATATATATATATATATATATATATATATATATATATATATATATATATATATATTATATATATATATATATATGTGTGTGTGTGTGTGTGTGTGTGTGTGTGTGTGTGTGTGTGTGTGTGTGTGTATGTGTGTATGTGTATGTGTGTGTATGTGTGTATGTGTGTGTATGTGTATGTGTGTGTGTGTGTGTGTGTGTGTGTGTGTGTGTGTGTGTGTGTGTGTGTGTGTGTGTGTGTGTGTAGTGTGTGTGTGTATGTGTGTGTATGTGTGTATGTGTATATGTGTGTATGTGTGTGTGTGTGTGTGTGTGTGTGTGTGTGTGTACTCACCTATTTGTACTCACCTATTTGTGGTTGCAGGGGTCGAGTCTTAGCTCCTGGCCCCGCCTCTTCACCGGTTGCTACTGGGCCCTCTCTCTCCCCGCTCCACGAGCTTTATCAAACCTCGTCTTAAAACTGTGTATGGTTCCTGCCTCCACTACGTCATTTTCTAGGCTATTCCACTGCCTTACAACTCTATGACTGAAGAAATACTTCCTAATATCTCTCTGACTTATTTGTGTCTTCAACTTCCAATTGTGGCCTCTTGTTTCTGTGTCCCCTCCCTGGAACATCCTGTCTTTGTCCACCTTGTCTATTCCACGCAGTATTTTATATGTCGTTATCATGTCTCCCCTGACCCTCCTGTCCTCCAGTGTCGTCAGGCCGATTTCCCTTAATCTTTCTTCATAGGACATTCCCCTTAGCTCTGGAACTAACCTTGTCGCAAACCTTTGTACTTTCTCTAGTTTCTTGACGTGCTTTATCAAGTGCGGGTTCCAAACAGGTGCTGCATACTCCAGTATGGGCCTGACATACACGGTGTACAGTGTCTTGAACGATTCCTTACTAAGGTATCGGAATGCTGTTCTCAGGTTTGCCAGGCGCCCATATGCTGCAACAGTTATCTGATTGATGTGTGCTTCCGGAGACATGCTCGGTGTTATACTCACCCCAAGATCTTTCTCCTTGAGTGAGGTTTGCAGTCTTTGACCACCTAGCCTATACTCTGTCTGTGGTCTTCTGTGCCTGTGTGTGTGTGTGTGTGTGTGTGTGTGTGTGTGTGTGTGTGTGTGTGTGTGTGTGTGTGTGTGTGTGTGTGTGTGTGTGCTGAATAGGTAAAACTGGTCAGCTAGCAAGAACTCATTTAAAATTAACATATCTTCAAAAATTTTCTTATACGTTTAAAAATAATTTTTTTCATTTATATTAATGTCAAAATTAATAATGAACATCAAAATGGTATATAATACCGACAGGTTGTTAGGTGAGACACATATGCAACAGTTAGACAACTTTATTCCGAAACGTTTCGCCTACACAGTAGGCTTCTTCAGTCGAATACAGAAAGTAGGCAGGAACAGAAGAGACGTGAAGGCGTCTTCACATCTCTTCTGTTCCTGCCTACTTTCTGTATTCGACTGAAGAAGCCTACTGTGTAGGCGAAACGTTTCGGAATAAAGTTGTCTAACTGTTGCATATGTGTCTCACCTAACAAAATTAATAATATTGCACCAAAAAAAAATTAGAAAACTTACCTAACCTTATCATAACAAGATCAATTTAATTTATCCTAATCCAACTAAATATATTTTAGATAAGTTTATAATAATTTAACAATAAACAAATACAATGAAAAATATTTTTTTATGTTCAGAATGATTTTTGCGAAATTATTACCTTATTCGGCAAGAAAAGAGTTGCTGTTTAAGCAAAAAATAGCAAGTTTTACATATTCGGCACGACAATATTATATATATATAATATATATATATATATATATATTATATATATATATATATATATTATAAACACTTACAACGTATACAGTCACACAGTTGTATCAGCTATACTGTATCACATACTAAATAATGAAGTCACAGGTGTCCATCTATGAGTAGGAAGACCTTGATCCTTGAAGGAAGACTTTGATCCTTCAAGAAAGACGTTTATCCTTGAAGCAAGACCTTGATCCTTGAAGGAAGACCTTGGTCTTTGAAGGAAGACCCTGGTCTTTGAAGGAAGACCTTGATCATTGAAACAGGCCTTGCTTCTGAGATTATGACCTTAAATCTTTTTCTTTGCTAGGAACTTACTTTTTGGATGAGTACCTTGCTTCATGAAGGACCTTACTCCTTGAAGGAACACCTTACTCCTTGTGGATGGTATTGTCCTTCAAGGAGACCCAAGTCTTTGGAAAAGGTGAACCCAAACCTTGAAAAGGCTGGTCTTCTCCTTGAAGAAGGACACTCAACTACTTGAAGAGACCACATTCTGCAGGACAACCCACTCATGGAGGAGGAGCAGGAGAAGCAAGAGTAGCAAGAAGAGGAAGAGGAAGAGGAAGAGGAGGAGGAGGAGGATCTCAAGAGCATGTAGTACGAACGCACAAAGACTTACGAAAGGAATTACAGGTTAGTTGAGAGAGTTCCACCAAGTGGAAATTGACAGACTTCCACCAAGTGGACAGTGGCAGAGTTCCACCAAGTGGACAGTGGCAGAGCTCTATCAAGTGGAAAGTGACAAGTTCCACCAAGTGGAAGGTGACAGACTTCCACCAAGTGGAAAGTGGCAAATTTCCACCAACTGGAAAGTGACAGACTTCCACCAAGTGGAAAGTGGCAGAGTTCCATAAAAAATCCTTAGCTCCTGTCGTTTGTCTTGGGCAAGGAGGCGCAACTGCTACCGCTACCTCCTCCTGACGGGGAGGTCCTGCTGCAGGCGTCGCAGCAAGCGCAGTGGCCTGCGCCTAGGCCTCGACACTTCTGGCGTCCTGGGGAGCGCAGGGGAAAGGCGTGGGATTGACAGCAGGGCCCCTGGTGGCTCTCTGGAGGCAGTGGGGAGGTGCTGGGGGAGGGCTGGGGGGAGCGTCGCTCCACTATCTTATCCACCATCCTGGAGGGAGACGTTCCCTTCAGCCGCAGCGTGGTGTTCCAGTTGCGGAACCTGCGGCAGGAGATTAGCAAGCAAGTAAGTAAGTAAGTAAGCCTGTAAGTTTATTTTGTCACAAGTAAATAATTTAGGCAGTTAGTATCTTGATTCTATCAGTACTATGACCCCAATTCTAGGTACTTCAGTCTGCTTAAACCATTTCTGATTATTATTATTATTATTACTATTATTATTATTATTATTATTATTAATATTATTATTATTATTAGACGTACAACACGATGTATATAAGGAGCCACGATACATATTAATAAGGGACAATATGAGGTTTGTGGCATTTCAGTTAGAAGACGTTTCGACCACCTGAGATTGTGTCAG